AAAAAAAAAAAAAGCAAATCGAAGTAGATTTAATAAGTGTTCTTAAAGGTGCGTTTAGGCATGAAGCTGGCACTATCACCTAGCTACATAGTACGCTTTTGTATGCCTAGCCCGTTTAGGCTAGTTGAACTCCAAAGCTTAACCTTGACGTATAGTCATATTTTACGCTCTTTAGACCATTGAATTTAATATAATATTATTTCGAAAATCTATTTACATGCCGTTGAAACTGTGGGCCCCAAATCTAGTAATACGAGAGCTGATACTTTTCCAATTTCATTTTCTTTTTCAATCCATTTAAATATATAGATTTTAAAATATCGAATTGAATTAACACAAAATACGTCTAATGAAATATTATAAAATACTGACTAAACATTATAATGTGGCTAGCCACTAGCAGTATCCATCTCAAATAAAAGTTGATTGGGTATGTTGGAAACACATTTTTTTCAAAATGCACAATCGAGGTTTTAGGGATTATTATGCACATAACTTTTAGTGAAGCTATGTAAAAGGACATACTCCATGGGCATCTACACGGAGATACTATGCATGTAAGAGATGTTTTATGATGTGAAGGGACACCAATTCTTGTCAATTGTCAAAAATTTTGGAATACATTAGTGAAGTGGGAGATGTATGTATAACACTTTAAACTTACCTATCAAATTATTTCCTCCGAGATAGAGAATTTGAAGCTTTGACAACTTCCCAATTTCCATTGGAATGCTTCCAGCAAAATTATTGTACGACAGAGAAAGTAGTTTCAGATTCATGCAAGCTCCCAAGCTTGGAGGAATGCTGCCACTCATTTGATTCTCTGAAATCCTTAGCCTCTCTAGCTTTGGAAGATTGAAGCAAATATCCATAGGTAGACTTCCTGAGAGATTATTTCTTCCAAAACTAATTTCAATCAGAGAAGTGAGGTTGAAAATCCTGTTAGGAATATTTCCGGCGAGTCCATTATGGGAGATACTTAACTTCAAAAGATTTTCAAGAAATTCAAAAGTCGGCGGAATAGAACCAGTTAGCTCATTGTACTGCATCTCTATTTCTTGAAGCTGGCTGAGCTTACCAATTTCATTAGGGATAAACCCATGAAAATTATTATTGCTAATAATTAAGGATCTCAAATGAGAGAGTTCACCAATTTCTTTAGCAACAGTACCTCCTAGACCCATATCTGCTAAATTCAGCTCCCTAACTCTTTGATGTCTCCTGCCACAAGTAATGCCAATCCAATTGCAGAACGAGGTTCCTTGTGACCAATTTTTTGCCAAGATTTTATTTGGATCAGAAGTTATTTGAGATTTGAAAGCTAGAAGAGCATACTCATCAGTGGAGCTATTTAGAGATGTAACAATGTTGATAAGCAAGTAGACCATCGCCAACAACATAAAGATGACATTCTGTCCCATGGCTAATTTAAAATGCATAAAGATAATTGGGAGGGGACTGGTAATGACAGTTTGATATAAGTGTAAGTGTGTGTGTGTGTGTGTGTGTGAGTGTGAGTGTGTATATATAAAATATGAAAGCTTAAGCAAGATAGGTGTACAAGGTAATTCACGGTTAACGTGTTGGTTGGGGTTTTATCTCGAGGAAGTGGTGATCATACCATTATGAACTTCATTTTTTCCAAAAATAAAATAAACTATGCTTGACTATGGAACTGGAAAAATTATTAATCCATGGATGTTGAGATTTTTCCTATCTTTTATTGTGGAAATTGTGGAAGTTTTTTCACAAATAAAGGTTTCATTCTTCTAATAATCCAAAAGAAATAGTTAGCTTTTGGAGACTTCATTCTCTACAAATACTCTCCCATTTTCTAGTAGAATGCAGAGATTTTCTTAAGAAAATAAAAATAGCTTAAAGTGTGCATAACTTAAGCCTCCGTCTCAAACCCTCCTTTCTTTTTTTTTTTTTTTGGCAAAAATCTAATTCTCCTACAGTGTTTTCAGACAACACTCTCCAAAGTCAATAATTGTATATTGTCTACGGCACGTTCAATTTTCAGCAAAAATGAGGAAAAACTATTCCACCTAACACCCAAGTTGGAGGGCAATATTAAAAAAAACAAATTAATGTGCATAAGAAAAGTCAATTATAGCAACTTTGCCGGGAACATTGTCAGATTAAATTGGACTTCCAAGTACGTGGGTCCCACCACTTTGGAATTGTCATTGGAAAATAATTGGAGTGTTGTCTGGAAAGTGGGGAAGTATTTGTGGCAAAACAATTTTAATAATGAATTTATGAGCATCGAGCTAAATAATTTAAATTTAGTGTTCTTAGTAACCACAAAACCTTTTTTCTGGATATCAAAATGAAAAATCTTCTGGAAACGGAAATTCAGGCCATATTTCATAAGGCTGTCTAAGATTTACGCTTTTAGCCCCTGTTTGAAAACCCCTTTTTTTGGGCCAAAATTCATTATTAGAAGTGCTTAATATTTCTTATAAGATATTTTGTGACTTTTGGTCTATACTAGTCAAAGTCGAACATGCATTGCATGTTATTATAAAATACTTTATAAGTACCGCAAAAGCAGTGGCGGACCCAGCAGCCGGCGAGCCCCGGCGACCGCCCGTACTGGATCTGCCGGAACAATTTTTTTCTTTTGGACA